CAAAGCTGCCCAGGAAACTGCCAACCTTGCCCCAGTCCAGCTTTCTGCCTCCTCCAAGTTTGTGCCCAAACTGCTAAGCCTCGTAGGTGAAAAGAAAACCAGCAGCTGGGCAGCATCAGCCCTCTGTGCATCCCTGTCTCCGGCCGGCCTTAGGCCCACAGGGCTCCCAGGAAAGCTCCTCCTTCCTAGTCAGTGCTCAACAACCCTCCCCACCGTGCAGGCACCTCCTCCTGGAGGCACTTCAGCCTCTCCCTCTTACAACAAAAAAAACCCCTCCTTCAACCCCACGCCTGCCTCCGTTTAACACTCTCTCCCCTTCTTGAAAGCACTGTCTACACTCCCTACTTTATCTCCTTCTCAAGAGTCAATCCACTCCAATCTGGTTTCTGCCCCGTTACGCTCCAACTCTGCTCTCTCCAGGGCCACCAGCTGCCTCCTTGTTGCTGAATTCAATGGCCACTGTTCAGTCCTTAGCTAACTTGACCTCTCCATAGCTTGGGCCCACTGAACCCTTGCTCCTGGAAACAGGCTCCTTAAACTTCATCTTCTCCCGCAAAGCCCAGACTCCCAGCCAGAAACCCCGGCTTCATCCTTGCTCCTCCTTCTCCCTCAGGCTTTCCTCCACACACTTCCAATCCCATTCTTCACCCAGCCCTGCAGAGTCTTCCCTCCAGATTCTCTAGAATCCATCCCTTCCCCTCTAGCCTCTCTGCTAACCCACTCCTCTCCTTCCCCCATCTCTCCCTACTGGTTAAAATCCCTCCTGGGCTGTCCCAGCCCTGGCTCCCTCAGGTGGCCCTCTGGATTTTGCTGGCGTGGAGCTGAACTCACCAGATGTGGTTGGGTGAACACTTTCCCTTCACCTGTTCAACTCCAGGTCATCCATCAGACTGCTGCTGGGACCGCACTTCCTTCAGGAAGCCTTCCTTAATTCCCCAAATCAGCACAGTGATTGGTGATGCCTGTGTCCAGGTCTGCATCCTGCAATGGTCTTCCTTAAGGACCAGGATTATACCCACCTCGTTTGCTGCCACATCCACCCGGAGTGCCTGAGTCTCCCCAGGTGCCCAGGGGATAGTGGTGACACAGACGGTGAAGGAGGAATTGTCACAGGGGCCACTGATGTGTCTCCTGCCTTCCTCGCTTCATCTGTCTCTTGGATTTGAAGTCGCTGGTGCCCACTTCTCTCTGATTGCCTCCTCACTTTGGGCCTTGGGCAGTGCAGTGGGCATCTGGGTGGGGACTGGAGGTGGATTCTAGAGCACATTCTTTGTGAGTTAAAGAGGGAAAAGGGATCAGGAGCCACTCCCTGCTGTGTGTTTCCCTGTCTGTGTTTCTCATCTCTTTTCGGAGACTCTGTCTCAAGGCTACAGGTTCCTGACCCCTTGTCTCGGCACCCTGGGGTTTACAGCTGGATGGCTGGATGGAGTATCCCCTCCATTCCTTAAAGCATCCCCTCCTCGCCTGCCCCCTCCCGTCTCCTCTCATCCCCCTGCCCTCCCTCCAGCCTCTCCCAGCCCGTGTAGCTTTCACTTGCCTGAGCCGCTCCGTGGACACTTCTCTGCCGGTCCTGCCCGGCTGCCCCCTGAGCCCCCAGGGCCAGCAGGCGGGAAGGATCCGGAGAGGGCGGGGATCCGACTTGGCGGGCGGGTGGGGCAGCCGGTAGGCTGGTCCCCCTCGCTCACCGGCCTGGCGGCTTGAGATCCCGGGGCGCAGTGGGCGGGCCCAGGAGGCGCGCGAGGGTAGAGCCCGCGGCTCTGGCGCCCCGGAGACCCCGGCGGGTCCCCGCCCCTGGCGGGCGCGGGGGGAGGGGCCGAGCGCCGGCGGTGGGCGGCGGCCGGGCCTCCTCTCGGGGGCGCGGGATTGCGGCCGCTGGGCTCGTCTGACCCGGCAGGCGCTGGCTCCCACGAGGTGTCCTCCTCCCTCCGGCTCCGCGCGGCCTTCTCCCTTTCCCTCCTCCAGGTTTCGCGGGTTTCAAGCACCTGGCAGTGAACTCCCCGCCCGCTCACACCGTCTCCAGGCTGGACTTTTCCGGGGCGGATGCACAGCCACTCACTCTAGAGCGAGGGGCGCAGGTCGCACTGGCTGTGTCTTCAGTCTCACGCGGATTCCCCACCCTCTCTGGAAGGGGAGACGAGCTGTGGAGGCAGGGAGATTTTTCCAGGGATGGGGCTCGTTTTCAGCACCCCTTCCCCAGTCACCTTCCACCAACCCTGCACCCTAGAAGGAGGTGTGGCCACGAGCCCCTTCTACAGATGACTGCAGGTCCTGGGGGGATTTGTAAGGGCCTGGGGGTGAGGGATGGGGAGGGAGCGCTAGGCTCAAGGCCCCCCTCCAGGCTGGGATGTGTCAGAGAGAGGCCTGGCTGACTTCTCAGAACCTGGAGGAGTTCAGCTGGAAGAACATCTCCTCCAGCCTCGCTCTTCCTTCGCTCACTCATCCATTTATGAACCCGAGGTCAGGTGGACGCGTGCCAGGCAACCTTCATCCTGGCAGTGTTCTGAGGGGGACCTCCCATTCTCCATCTGCAGGTGATGAAATAAGGCTCAAGGCCCACAGCCTTTTGCCCAGCCCCTGGGGGCAGAACCAGGATGTGAGTCTTATCCCTAGACTCCAGCTCCAGCCTGCTCAGTCCTCCAGGTTGGCCAGCAGGGATGGGACTTCCAGGGGGCTACCTGGACCAAGCGCTCCCAGCCTTCCGTGTGTTCTCAGCGCCCAGCGGGGGCTGGCGGGGTACAGCCGCAGTCAAGGTCAGAACAGGGCTATTGGACAGAACTGATTTCACTTATGGAGCAGACTCTGGAGGAACTGGGTCCAGTGACCTGTTCCTGTCTGCACGCCCTCCCGTGCCGAAATATTGGAGGGTTCTGGAGCTGCTCAGAGGTGAGACGGCACTTCCTCCTATACTCCCCAGCCCTCCACCCCACCAGCTTGGCCCAACCTCACCTTCTTCCAAAGCATGGACGGGGAGAGGGTAGGTGTCTCCTCATGGACCGCTGCTATGACCAGGTTGAGGGGGTGGAGGGTGGGTAGAGATATACTTAGGGAGGAAGTATCTGGACATTCACCTGGACTGGGGGAAGGAGGTCTCAGGAAGCCCATGGCAGGGGAAAGAGGAACAGAGGCCCAGGCCTGGAGGATTCCCATAGTTTCAAGGGTTCTTTGCACCCCCACCCAGTTCTTCCCCAATGTACATAGCTCTTGCCTTTTTATGTGTTCATTCCTTAATTTATTCCACTCTGTTCCCTAGTAGCACTCTGTGCCTGGCCCTGCCAGGCATCAGGGATACCACAGACCTGCCTTGGGGAGATCATGGCTAGGAAGTGTTGATGGTGGGCAAGGGGGTGGGGGACCACTCTCCCCACAGCTCAGGCTCCACTTTCCCCCTCCCACTCCCTCCAGCCTTGGCCATCTCTTTGGGGTGCTGCAAGTGAGGACTGAAGATGGATAGGAGGAAGGGTTTCCTTATTGATCAAGGAGGGGCCACTAGGCCCGAGTTATTGTTGATGATAATGATGTTGAGGGAAAGGAGAAGGGGCAGGGAGCAGGCAGGAGGGAGGTAGAGAGGAGGGAAATGCAACGAGAGGGGAAGTTGACTTCTCTCAGGCTGGAGGAACCAAAGGCTCCACGACTGGCCAGCATTTGTGAAACGGAGCCCCTTCATGAAAGTCTGTCCCACTGTGGTCAGGGAGCTTGTCCCTGTGGCATGTGCAGAGGACAGCAGAGGGTTGAGCCTTGGATGGGGAGAGAGAGGAGAGCTGGATGCAAGGCTTGGCTCCACGACCTCTCAATGTGGGACTCGATGAGGCCTTTCCTGCTTTCCCATCTGTACGATGAGATGGTCTTTCCCACTTTTGATTGGGTTTTCCAACATCCACTGGGTACCTTCTGTGTGCCTGGCCCACTGCCCCCCACTCTCGAGAGGAAGAACTAGACAAGGGCCACTCAGAGAGATGTGGGCTATCATGGGGGAAGCCCTGGGGCTGTGGGAGAACAGTGAAGTCAAGGGAGGTTTCTGAGAGGAGGTGTCATCTGTACTGATCCTTGGAGAATAAGATTCTCCCTTGCTTGTCTTCTGCTCACCAAACCAGGATAGAGGCCAATGGAACATATGTTTCCATAGAGGTCAAATAACTCTGCTTCATCTTGAGGGTGCGAGTGTGTGAGGAGTGGTGTGAAGGAGAATGTTTTCTGCACAGCCACACACAACTTGGCCAGGTTTTCCTGACCCTAAACCCTGTGCATACATTGGGCCTTGAAGTGGCTCTCTAGGGAAAGCCAAGGGAATTGTTTTTTCCATTAAATTTAAGCCATTAACATTTATTGAGCACCTACTGTGTGCCCTGATGGTGACTGGAAAAGGGTCACATACAGTAGGTTTAAATAGGATTAATAATTGTTTTGTGAAAAAGAAGACTGCAACCTGCCTGGAGGGTGTTGAGAGAGGGAGACACAGGTTGGTGGAAGAGGACGAGGAGGGCATTGTGGTTGTGGGGATTCTTGGAACTGGGCCTTTAAAGGTGGGGGTTTTGATAGGGAGTCAGGTGGGGAGGGGGCCCCCAGGGGCACACAAGCCAAGGCTTGGAGGCCAGAATGTGTTCAGATTGCTCAGGAGCGGTGAGAGGGTCGGGGAGAAGAGGGAAGGCTAGAGGTCTTGTCTGGAGGCAGATCACGAAAAGCCTTGAATGGTGAAGTCAAACAGAGTCTCAGCTCAAGAGCCACCTCCTCCTGGAAGCCTCCAGGCCCGTGCCTCACCTTGCTTCTGTCATGGCAGTGACCATCTTGTTTGTCTAAGGTATGCCTCCGTCTGGTTCACTGCTGCTCAGGGCCTGTCTCTGAGTTGCCTGGAATTTTTAACATTCTGGAAAGATTCTGGTCCAGTCCCTCTGTCCAGCCAGTGAGCTCTAGAGACCCAGGGCCAGGCCTTGGGGGCTGAGGGGCTCAGCCAGGACCCCATTTGTGGCTCCTGTAGGCCTGTGGTTCACTTCTGTGGCCAGGCTGGTATCCCTGGGCCCCAAATTCCAGAGAAATCAGTCAGTAGATCAAAAAGGGAAAGAAGCTGAGCTACAGTCCAGAGAGAAAATCCAGGCAAGAGCCTGAAACAAAGGCCCCCAAGGTGGCGGGGACCTCCAGGGACTCCTTGCTTCAGGCCCCACCCTGCCACATGGAATCCATTTCCAATAGCCTTGGCCCAGGAATGCAGGTCTGGCGTCTCCAGGGCCTGGTTCACCTCTGGTTTGGCCCTAGGAGGGTTCTGAGATCAGGGTAGCGGGCAGGAAGGGAGGTCAGGGTGGGGGCAGCCCCTCAGCCCTCCCCAGCCCCCCAGGCCCCTGGCTTCAGCTTCTCCAAGGTCCTGCTCACGGTGGACAGGCTGCTGCGGGCTCCTGGGGGAGAGACCAGGACAGGGCTGCCTGAGTAGACAGCCCCAGGTCAGAGTAACCCAGAGGGACCCAGGGGCAGAGGGGGATGGAATGGGGAGAGAGGGGAGTCCCAGGGGGCAGTTTCAGCTGAGTTTAAAGAGGCACAGATGGTCAACAGGGCCCTTCAAGAGGATGGCAGCACAGTGTTGGGGTGAGAGGCAGGACTCCGGGGCTGATTGCCTGGTGTTGGTTCTGGACCCACCACTTCCCTGCTGCATGACTTAATCTCCCTGTGCCTCAGTTGCCCCATATATAAAGTGAGCTGTTTCTAGTACCTCCCTTGTACGGTTGTTCTGAGGAAGGAACAAGTTAATATATGTAAGGTGCTTGGGACAGTGTCTGGAACGGGACCTTTTGCTGAGTATTAGGTATCCTGGTGGCAGACACTGTGGGCTGGGCCATCTTTGAGGGACTCCTGCCCTGGAATTTTCCAGTGTGTGGGGTGGGGGAGGAGGAAGATTCCCAGTTTCAGGTACAAGCTCTGAGAGTTGGATTCTGCAATGGGAGAAGAGAGGGAGAAAATACTCTTGGCCACGGGACCCAGGGGAGAGGAAGGGGCAGCGTGGTGTCCTCTGTCCATGCAGGGCACGACAGAGAAGCCCTGAGGATAAACAGGAGCTCAGCTCAGCTTGGAGCAAGAAGGGTTTTGACTGAGCTCATGGAAGAACTCCCAGCTCTACCGGCTCCCTGTGACTGGGGAAGCCCCTTCTGTGTGTCTCTCAAGGCTTCTCCTGGGTTACACAGAGCTGCTTACTCAGAGAGGGAAGAGGGAAGAGGGATTCTAGAATTTCTGGAACTTACCCTCTTTATTGCCATTGGCACTGGATCTTCTCTCCCCATGGTCTGGCCCTGGGTGGGGGTGGATTCTCAGGCTCCCTGTAGGATGAGACCACCCCAATCCCCTGGTTACTAAGCCATTCTCAAGTCAATCCAGCTTTGGGAAGAGAAGTCCTTGCTGCTGCCCAATCTCCATCCCTGCTGCTGTCTGTACTCCACTGCAGTCCTTTAGGTCTCCCACATGATCTGGGCTGATTTCAGAAGAGGGTGGGGGTGGAAGAAATGGACCCTTGAAAGAGAAGATGGCAGGTTTTTAAGGAGGTGGGAGTTCTGGGGAGAGCTAGGGTCCTGTGTGTAAAGCCCCACAGGATTGATGGAGGTGGGAGCATGAATGTGGGAAGCTGAGATGAGGTGGGAGCTGTACAAGAGTCCTAAGGTCTTTATGGGGGCTCAGGGATAAAGTGGGGTGATCTGGAGATCTTGGAGGCTTTGGGGGAGACGGAAAATCCCTCGGGGGAGATAGGAGTTCTCGGTGCTCTGAGCTGGCTCAGGCATTTTTGCCGCAGGCTGGAGTCTGCTGCACTGTAGTCATGGCAACCTCTGTACGAGGCACACACACGCACTCACATGCAGCAATTCCAACACACATAGCCAGGAGCAGTCACACATGTGGGCTCAGCTCCACCGCACAGCGGGCCACAGACTTACACGCAAAGGGTCTCACACAGTCCTGAGCAGAGAGGTCCTCTGGGGCTGGGGGAGAGGACTCACCTATCATAGGCAGGATGTGGTCCAGGTTGAACCGAGCCTTCAGGAAGGGGTAGGCCAAGATGAGGAGCCCTGAGAAGAGAGACACAGAGGGGTTCTGTGATGGGGAGGGGGCCTGGTTAGTTTGAGCTGCATGGAGCTGTGGATGGGCTGTGAGCCTGGGGGGGTGGTTTATGAAGGTTGTATGGATGTGCATGGGAGGAGCATGAGTGGGCAGAGTTTGGACTATGGGTGTGTAAATGAGCCTGTGAGTGTGTGTGTGGGGCAGCTCCCCAACACTCAGCCCCAGGAGGGGGCAGGGAGCAGTGCCTTTCTGGGCAAGGGGCTGCAGGCTGTAAAGGCCCAGGCTCCTGACTCCACCCTGCCCAGGTGATGAGCAGGTTGGCTTCCTTACTTCTCCACTGGCTGGAAATGGGCCCAGCTGATACCACCACCACCAACTCTCCCCTGCCTCACCCTTCCCTAGAACCCCCAGGGCAGGACTGGGTGGCTCCTCAGCATGTTTCTTTCTACTCAGACCTGGGGAGGGAGGTTCAGAAGAGCAGGTCCTGCCCTGCCCACTCCCACTTCATCCCCAGACCAAGTGTCTGTGGCCCTTGGCTGGAGTTCATAGGTACAGGTGCCCAGAGCCCACCAGCCCCATGCTTCTGGTTCTGCTTTGGCCCAGGGTAGTGGAGTGGGGTAAGGGATGGTACTCAGCATCACTGTGGGGATGTCAGCAGGACTAGCCCAGATAGAGAGATGGACAGATACCTGAACAGACAGATCTGCTGCTGAGACATACAGGAAAAGAAAAGGAAACCCTTTGAGCTGTCTTGGCTCAAAGAGGGTCCTGCTGGGAACTCTGTTCTCTTTCACCTACCATCCATCAACCCACCCCCAACAGGCTTATGAATCCCACCACAAACCCACGAGCCTGGGGCTTGGGACTGGAGAGCCAGAGGGGTAGCAGCCAGAGAGGAGTGTGACAGCCAACTCCCTCTTCCATGTCTCCTTGCGCCCGGCAGTCCACAGAGGGAACATCACCCCAACCTTCCTCTCCCTCCCTGTACACCCATGGCTGCCTTGCTCACACCTCCTCCCCAACCAATTCCTGATGAGCCAGCCGTTCCCTCCATTTCTCGTTCACCTGGCCATGCCCCTGCCCCCTCTCTGAGCCCAGCACCTGCTCACCCAGACCAGCAGCGCCAATAAAAATACCACCCACGGCAGCTGCAGCTTTGGACACGGAGACACCGATGATGATGCTGCCGGCCAACAGGCCGAGGGCCACACAGGCCAGCTGCAGGCAGCGGAAGTCTCTGCTGCTGATGGGGATGTCCATGCAGGCCTACCCAGGGCACTGCCTCCAGCCAGTGGGGCCTGTCTCCAGAAAAGCCCTGGAGGTCTCGATCCTCTTGGATGTCTCCTTTTTGGAGCTCCACCTTCAGGGAAGGAGTTTCTGGGCAGTAAGGTTCTGGGCTGGTAACCCTTAGATTTATCTGCAACCCTATCCCGCAGCTTCCTAGGGGCCCCTGCCCCACCTTCACCTAGGATCTCTGCCAGGTCACCCCAGCTTACTCTTCCTCCTCTACAGGCCCCTGAAGCTGGAGATCACTTTCAGGACTCCTGCCTGGCCACATCCTGCCCTGGCTGCCAGAGCTCTGGAGAGCTGGGCCTGCCCCACGGGGTCCTCCCCTGCCAGCCTCCTCTTGGGAAAGCTCAGCCCGAGCTCCCCTGCCCAGGACATCCTGCCCCACTCCCTGGAGCCTGTTCAGCTGCCACTGAGACTCAGCCTATTAAAGTTTAAAGCACTGGGGAGGCTGGTCCAGGGCACACGGTTCCTCGGAGATGTAGGCAGCAGGGAGGTGCTGAGTTATTCATGAGGTTGCAATGTGAGCTGCTGCCTGGGTCCCAGAGGCCCACTAGGGCACTCAGCCGAGCTTCCACTCTTGGTCCCTGAGGGGGCAGGATGAGCCGGGGGTTAAGCAGCCAGGGATGTGAGAAGACTCTTTGGCCACGTGCTCAGGGTCCACTCTGCTGTCCCTTTGGCTTGGAGGTGCACCTGGGGCCTCTGCTTGGGGACTCGGGGACAAAAGCATGGAAGGAGACCTTGACGAGGCTCAAGAGACAGGAACAGTGACTGGGACAGGAGGAGGAGAGGGCGAGGTGTCCCTCCAAGTCCACTCTGTGCCGCTGTCGCTCCCTCCCCTCCCCCCACCGTCCCATCAACTCTGGGCTCCCAGGCAGGGCTGAGGGGTCCTAGTTTGAGGCCGATTTCAGGGGACCCCCTTTTCCTCAGGTAGGCTTGGTGCCCACCCCCCTTTTAGTTGCCAGTGGGCTGAGAGGGTGAGTCTTTCCCACCGCCCTGGGATCCCTGGTGGGGGGCTGACAGGGAAGAGTGGTGGTGGGGGCATGGGCAGGAGGAAACGCATGTGGGCTAGGGTTGGGAAGAGGAATCAGCAGGGGCTGGGTGGGCGGCCAGTGTCAAGAGACTGGGACATGGCTGGCGCCTCCTGACCTCTGGACTGAGCTCCTCTGCCCAGCCTGTCTGACCTACTTGTGGGATCCATCAACTCATGGCCAGACGGCGGTAACCCAGCCCAGCCCAGCCCTGTCCCACCCCCGGTTCTAGCCCTCATCACTAGTTGCTTTCTCTGGCCCTTTAGGGATCAGGGCCTCTCTGATCCCAGAATATGGCCTTGGCCCTAGCCCTGCACCTAGGCCGCTGGCACAGTTTTCAGGATCCCATCGCTGGCCCCACTGGCCTGTCTTTGGATCACCCCCGTCTCTTCCCACCACATTAGCAGTCCAACATAGCCAGGCCCAAGGTCCCCTGCCTCCATCTGCCTTCCCAGCTGCCCCCTGCTCCTTGCCCCTCCCCTTCTCCTCTGCTGCCCTTCTGCTGAGTGTCTGCCTGGCCTCTACCATGTGGAGAATGCCTCCTCATCCTGCAGGAGCCTGCTCAGCCACCCCGACTCTGTGAAACCATTCCTGATGGTGGGTGAGTTGGTGGGCTGCCTACCACTGCTGCCGTGTCCCCGCTCCGAAGTGCCTACCATGTGTCCTTGTTCTCTCTGTCTCCCCTGCAAACTCCCCTTGAGGGCAGGTTCAGGGAGTGAGCGCCACAGAGTGCTGTGGCTGGAGGGACCTGGGCTAGGCTTCTGGACACAGGACAGAGTTCAGGGAGGCCTTGGGCCTGCACGACCACCTCGGGCCGGCAGAGGAGGCCCAGGCACCATGGACTTCTGTCTCTAACAGAGGCTTTCCTTGGGTGGGAATGAGGGCCTAGGAAGGCCAGGGTCACCTGACTGAACTTCAGCTGAGGGAAGGCACTGCCAGGAAGCTGGAGAGAGGCCTGGGTGGGAACAGGTGTGAACTCAAAGGTGTGTAGAGAGGAGAAGTGACTGCAGAGCACTGAAGGGCCCCTGGGCCGTGTTCCTGGCCCCTATAAGAGGAAGCCCCTGGAGGTAGGCATTCCCCAGCCACAGCCACTGCTGCCAGGATCCCCTGTGCCTTTCGCCAGGATGAGGTCTGATTATTCCTCTAATTAGGCATCAAATGACAGCCGATGTCTCTGTCACACGTAATTGATCCCCCACTGACTAGTTTTAGAAGGAGCCGTCAAAATAATTCTCCGTGGAAACATGTTCCCAAGATGTTGAGCTTTTGGAATCTGAACACCCTCCACAATACCCCCCTCCCCCGTTCAGTGTTTGCATAACTCTGGACAGGCAGAGCGTGTGCCGCTCCTCTCATGGTGGAAGGCTGAGGGTGGCACTCCCACTATCAGCAAGACAGGGACTCCCAGGCCACATCTCCCACCTCACACTGTGGGACGTGGATCCGCCACTCTACCTCCCTGAGCCTCACTTTGCTCATCTGGTGAATGGGGATAGGGATGACAGTGGCTGGAGTCAGGGATGCCTGTGCATTGTGAGTTTCAGATTCCAGAAGAACACTCTGACCTCTAAAAACTGGAGACCAAATTCTAAATTGGAGTTTTTCTTTGACATTGTAAATCCCTCAGGGCATAGAGTCAGAGGGGGAAATATGGAGGAGAGACACATGAAGCCATTCTCAGCTACAAGATGAGAGAACCACAGAACCATCCCAGCTCCTTTCTAGAACAGATGGAGAAACCGAGACACAGGGAAGTGGAAGGATTGCCCCAGAGTCCTTGATAGAACCCGAGTGTTCATATTCCCTGCTCAGCTGGGAAGTACTCGAGCATATCTCTGCCCCTGGATTTCTAAAGCGTCTTCTTTGAGGAGGGAAGAATTGGCAACTCCACCATCAGAGGGAGACATTGTGTTCAAAAGAATCAGTCAAGGCTCACATCTCTTCTCTCATGACAGGAGAGTGTCATTAAAGGCCACTCGAAACTTGTGCGATGCCCGCTCCTCCGCTGATTACAGATGTGGAGAGGGAGACTTGCCAGTTCTTTCCTCAATGTAGGCTTATCATCTCTGCAGAAGACAACACGTGCTTGTCCTTGGGGGCTATGTGCACTATAATGGGTAAGTAAGATGCACGGCCAAGGTGCTAGAGCCCAGCACCCCACCCGTCCCCACCCCACGCGCAGCGGAGCACTCCTCGCTGAGGCCTGGGTCCTCCAGCCCGGACTCAGGGTGTGGCTAGGCCATGGTCACTGCTGAGCTCCCTCACAAAATCTCTCCTCTTTGTCTCCTGGGCTGGGGGGGTGCCTGCCTGTGCTCTTTCCTTCCCAGAGGCGCCAAGTGCAAGGGTGGCGTGGGGTTGGGAGGAAAAGTGGGCGAAAAGGCCTCAGCTTGGTTTCGTTCTGTTTATTTTCCTGGAGGGGTGAGGACCCTGGAAAAGAGCATGATTAATTCACGGATCCCCTGGGGGATGGGCAGCTTTCCTGGACTGTTTGGAAGCTGAAATCGCAGAAGCAGCTTCCAAGGCAACTGCTACCATGGCAACATGAGTGCCAGCTGGGGGGACCTTGCTCCTCACTTCCCTCCAGACCTAAGCAGCTGGAGCAGCTGGCACAAGACCAGGGCACTGCTGTTCACGGAGCTGGGTCTGGGGAGGGCAGTCGTTCAGGAGGGAGGAGGGGCCCCCAGAGCTCAGGCAGGTGGACACTGGAGGGAGAAAGACTTGAGCCCTGTGTCCCGGTCCCTAGATGGGGCTCAGACAGGGGTCCTCAGGGTCCACTTGAACCAGACGAGCTGGGGCCGAGGCCTGTTAACTGGATTTGAGGCAAGAGGCCTGAGGTCCAGGACCCTCTGGCTGGCTGGAACCAGTTCTCACCTAAGGCTCAGCCCAGGCATGAGGCCCAGAGCTGGGGACCTGGCTGCCACAGTTCCAGGTCCCAGAGCCTCCCTCAGTGTGTCTCCCGTATCTGCCTCGGCCCAGCAGAGCCAGGCACACGGCCTGGTCCTCAGAAAGGGCAAGGGGCTTCCCAAGGTCACCTAGTGAACAGTGGCAGACGAAGGACTAGAACCCAGGGCCCCTGGCCCCCAACCTCAGACTCTTCCCCTGGTACCACAGCTGCCCCTCGGGGACAGGGACCCCAGGCCAGAGAGGCAGAGCAGTGTGTCAGAAGAAGGATCCCGCAAAGGGCCAGAGGCCAGGGCCATCTGGAAAGGCCAGATCCATCTCCACCCACACAAGCCCAGGAAAGGCAGAAAGCTCATCTCCATCACTGGGACCCAGTGAGTAATTCCACCCCAGGAGACAATACAAATAATTACAATTATCATAGCTAACGTTAATGAGCACTGTGTATGCCTGGAACTGCTCTAAACACTTTACATTTATTAATTTGTAACTTTCACAATAGCACCGGGAGGTAAGCACTGGCGTCCCTAATTTTTGGTTGAAGAAACTGAGACCCTTGGAGGTAAAATAAGTTGCCCAAGGCCCAAAGCTGGGAAGTGGCAGAGCCGGCATTTGAACTGGGGCAGCACACCTCTGGGTCCTGAGTCTCTTTGGGAAGAATTCAGTTCCACTTTCCCAGCTGTACAGCCCCAGGCAAGCTATTTTTTCCTTTCTCTCCTTGGTTTTTCATGTTCAGTGGGATAAAATAATAGTACCTTACCTCATCTGACTGCTGTGAGAATTAAATAACGCCTGTAAACTTCTCAGACAGTACCTGTTAGTAAGTGCACAATAACGCCAGCAAAACCAAAGTAGGCACAGTAGCGTTTGAGCAGAGCCGCGGAGGAAGAGAGGGGCCTTGCCGGGTGGACTAGGGTGGGGAGGCCGGGTGGTAGGGGGCACAGCCTAAGCAAAGGCACAGGGGGAGGAGAGCCGGCTGGAGCCGCATGGAGGTCAGGGGGAGTGGGGGTGGGGAGCGGGGAGTGCTTGATCCGGGAAATCCTTGGAAGTCACATCCCTGCTGGGCCAACCTGGAGGACTGACCAGGCTGGGGCTAGAGTCAGAGACGAAACTCATACCCTGCGTTCAAGTCCCCACGGACTGGGAGACTTTGGGCCAAAAGGCTCAGATTCTGCAGGCCTGTTTTCCCAGCCCATCCCACTCCAGGTGGATGAAGAAGGGATGTGAGGGTGGTAAGGGTTACTGCAAAGGGAAGACCACTGTCAACAGAAGTCATCAACATGGAGGCATGCATGGTGCAGGACAGCTGGTAGTCTGGCCATTACCTGCCCCCAGAGAGAAGAGCCCCTGATCCCACCTCCTCTCTGCTGACCCCAGGGAGAAAAGCCACCAGCAGCACCCAGCATACTGCCCTGACGCTCAGACCTCCCTCTTACCACCTCTTGGGAACTTATAAAGGCCCTCCCCCTGCCCCCTAGTCCTCTCCAGTCCAGTTCTGAGGATTATACAGGACAACGCACATGAAGCCCCCTGCATGATACACACGAGGGCTGCGGAGGTGAGGCACCACTGTTCTTTGTTGCCAACTCTGGCAGGACCAGCCCAGCACTGGGCACACAATGGAGCCTCAAGAAAGGTGAAGTACTGCTTCAGACACAGGGGCGCTTTGTTCCCACTGGGCGGGTGGGCTGGCCTGGGGACAGGGCACACCTATGAAAGCACTGTTTGAAGCCAGCTTGTGTGATGGCCACTGACACTCCCTCTTCCACTAGATGGGGAGATCCTAAAAGGCAGAGGCTGTTTCTCACTCATCTCTGGGTCCTGGCACATAATAGGAGATTGACAATGGTTGATGAATTTCGTTTCCTCACCTGAAAAAGAAAAGCGATGATGTTTTATGGATCCAATGAGTTGCTATATTTGAAGGTCCTGACAAGGGGCACTTTCTCCTCCCCACCCTGGCTGGACTCAGCCCCTCTCCAGAAGGCCTGTCTCCTCCTCAGGCTTGCAGCTGAAGAAAGGACCACCAGGAAGGCCACAGTGAGAATTTAAAAGTTTTATTAAAACAAGCACAATGTATAATAGCGTCGTGTTGTAGAAACGTCTGTCTGACATACGCAAATCGATTTTCTTAAGGTAACTCAGCAGCTCAGCGTATCTGACACTGGATGTTCCTCTGTGCTCGCGGCAGCAGTACCACATGGCTCAGACCAAGGCGGCCAGGCCGCCTCCAATCCGGCTCCACATCAGGCACAGAGCTCCTTCTAACTGCCCTCACACCAGGCCGGAGGGACCAGCAGACGTGGGCTCTAAGTAGCTCATCATCCGAACAGCTTAAAACCAGTTAGAATAAAAGGAAACAGCTGATTAAAACCTTTCAAATGCACGGACATTCAGGAGAGAAGAACGAGCCCTTACAGCTCTGAAAGTCCATGGGCTTCCAGTGGGAGTTTCAAGTCCCATCTTTGCTGGAAGAGCATGGTTAAAAAAACAAACATTTTTTTTTAAAAGAAATAATACTGACTTTAGCAGCAATCTCAAACAAGGAAGAAGATGATAAATGAGGGACACACTTCGGTCATGGCAAAGAAAGATTAAATGCTTCTCTGTGCTACAGACTGGAAGACTGATCTGGCTTCCCGAATGCAGAAGGCTCCCTGCCCTTCCCTGAATTGAGGGGACGGCTTTGCTCAGCCGAGGGGGAGGATGTCCAGAGGACAGAGGAAGGTGGAAGGACTGCCAGAGAGGGGTGACAGTGCAGAGAGGGAAGAGCTTCTGTCAACTGACACTTCTCAAGCCTGGCTCCCTGAAGGCTGCAGCCCCAGCCCCACCGCTGCCTGCCCATGAGAGCAGGCTGGATCCTGGATCCGCAGGCGGGTGAGCAGGTGGGCAGGAGACCAGCAAAGAGATGTCCCTGCCGCAGGCGATTATGCAAAGTGACGAGTGATTGCTTTCCTTTTCAAAGACAACCCTTTCGGAAAAAGCTTTTTCCTTGAGGACTCTGGGGATGGGGGGTTAGGTGGGAACCCAGGGCCTTCATGGATGAAAAGGCCTGCATGGAGCCGCAGAGCAGGTCCCTCTGCCTGCTCTGCAGACTTTGGCCTCACAGGTTTGCAGGGGGGCAATGCCTGGACAGGCCTAGGGCCTGGAGGGTGTGACTGGAGTGGGTCAGCGTGCTGTGGGTGTCGGGCATGGTCCTGCATCTCCACTGCGGCCTGCCTGAGCCAGGGCCCTCCGGCGAGCCAGGCGCGACTTGGAGGGAGGAGAAAGCCTCACAGAGCAGAAGCCCTCGGCCAGTGCCTCTGACTCCTTTGCCAGTTCATTCTCCTCGTGCTGAGACAGCTGGCGGTTAAGGGCGATGGCTTCGGCTGCGAAGAGGGTCAGGTCCATTGTGCTGCTATTTCTGCAGGGATGGGGGAAAGAACGGAAAAGAGGGAGGCAGGGCTCAGTGGGGTCACCCGGGCCAGCTCCTCGACACCCCCACCAGTTGCTTGGTTCTATACTCCCACTGGGTGTTTCTGAGCCGGCGTTTTCCCAGCCCAAAGCAGTTCTTGCATGAGTTTGGAATCTGACTTCACTGAGGCTGGAATGGCTTTGAGCCTCAAGTACAGTCCCTGGATGTAAGAATCGGGACAAACGCCCCCTTCTATTCAGAGCTCCCTCCTCTGAGCTGGGCACACAGCTCTACCAGAGCAGCCGCAGCACAGGAAACTCACCCATGTGTATCCCTTTTCCCTGTCAGAGCAGGGGGCTCCAAAAGCAGGAGCCCTGCCTTTATGTCTGTGTCCCCAGAACCCAGCTCAGGGCTAGCACATAATGGGCACTTTGGGTTTGCTGAATAAATCTTCTAAGGTGGATCTGAAGTTTGGAGCCTCAAGATATCTGGATGCAGCTCTAGAAAATCAGGTAGGAACCCAAGCTGGGCAGCAGCATTCTGGATCAAATGAATGAGACTATAAAGGAGTAAGACTTCCCTGTGTAACTCTGAGAAACTGACTATGAGGTTGGTTCCCACAGTGCTTTGGCCCCGGCCCTTTAGGAACAGGGCGGTGCTCACTAGGAATGGGATCTAGTGTTAAAAGGCACCAGAGTCAAACAGATCAGGTTCAAAATCCAACTTCCAAGGCTACTGTGTGGCCTTGAGTAAGTTAACTTGATCTCTCTATTGCTCAGTTTTCTTATCTATAAAATGGGGTAATAGGAACACTCTCTTTTAAATTTATCGTAAAGATTATGGATATAATATATGTAAAGCCCTTAGCACCAGATCTGGCAGTGGCCATTATGATTACCATTTGTCTAGTAGTACATGTGACAACTGGTTCCACTGCCTTACAGTGCCCTGATTCCTGCCACTATCAGCAACCCACAGCAGCAGAAGGAAACTTGGTGAGAATAACCCATAGAAAAGGTCTCTCTCTGGGCTGTAAATGGTGATTTCTAGTTAGGATTCAAGTGGATATGCAAAACAGGCTTTTCTCCTGCAAACAGCACAAGGAGGGGCCTTCAAGGTGCTGGAGGGCAGGGGAAGCCCTCCAGGTGGAGGAAGAGACAGAGGGAGATGGACCTACTGTAGAGGGCAAGAGAAGAAGAGAAGTGGGGAGAAGGGCCAGGGAGCCCCTTCAGGAGGAGGACACTTGAGCCTAGAGATGGGCTCCCCAACCCCACCTCCACCCCAGTGGGGCTGAGAGCTTGAGGGAAAGTCAAAGCCAAAGAAGGGAGGGCGCTGGGTGTGGTCGAGAGAGCATTTACCTCTGGAGGACTTGCGGCGTGGGGAGTCCCCTTTCTGGAGCTTGCTAGAATGGGAAGGACAGACGTGTGGGTAAGTGCTGCCCCTCCTTCAAGAGCTAGCCCCACCGATGCCAGCACTGAGTGGACAAGTTACCACAGGCTCTGGCCCAGCACAGGGACTTGGCCATGCTTGCCTGCAGGGTCAGACCTTCCAAGGAGAGAGCAAGCGAAGTATGGCCCCTCCCCTGCTGCCTCTGCGTGGAGAGCCTTCTGTCTGAAAAAGTCCTAATCATCCCCCAAGAGCCAGCTCTAGGGTCACTGCCCCTGTGAGACATTCCCCTGCCCTGCCATGTCTCAATCCCATCTCAAGCAGAGGTGGGTGCTTGTCCTTCAGCGTCCTTAGCACTTTTGATACACATTTGTCACAATCTCCTGTCATTTATTCCCTTGTCTCCGTCTCCCCATCAGAACACGCAGACAGGGACTGGGTCTCACTCATCCCACTACTGCCAGGGTCTGGCACATGGCAGGCACTCAGGAAAGAGCACAACTCTTGTGTGGCTGTGAATTAGCCACTCAGAGACTCTTGGATTGGGTCTCGCCCTGTACCATGGGGGTGGCAATGCTTGCTTCCTTCCACTGTCAGGGTCACTGAGGCTGGCTAGGGCCTGGCAGACCAAGGATAGACAGTAAATCACAGGAGGTCTGGCAGACCCCTTGGAGGGGCAGAGGTCAGGAATGGTGACTAACTGAGGAGGATGATTAAAAATGTTTCCTAGTGAAGATGTGGATCCTTAGTTTGGGGCAAATACCACCATCTGCCTTCCAGGCAAGCTGCACACAGACGCCCAGGACCACAAGGAGAACCAATGTGCCCCAATGGAGCCACACAGCACGCAGGGCAGCAAGGTCCCGCTTATGGGTGCTCTCAGCTAACGAAATTTTTGCATGAGGGGATGGTACTACAGGTCTGAATGCCAATACTCGGCTGCTTCCTGGGCTGTGTGCCTCTGTGTGCCTCTACCAATAGTGGGATGCGTGTGCTGAATCCCCCAGAGGCCTTTGTCCCTTCCAGAGAGGCATGCGTCAGGTAGGGGCTTAGTTTGTGGCCAAGGTTAGAGCCAAGTCTGTGATCAGTAAGGGGCTCAGTCTGGGGTTAGGTTAGGAGTCAATTCACTCTACGTGCACAGGGACTGAAGCTCCATACGATCTCCCTCCAGCTGAGGTCGGCCACCTGGGTATGAGAGCTTCCTCACGGCCATGCTGCAGGCCTGAAGAGGAGGAATGCCACCCCTCCCAGTTCACTCACCCCCTGTACCCATGGGTGCTGCAGAACTTGGGCAGCGCTCAGTCTCTGCTTTGCATCTCGAACCAGGAGCTTGGAGATGAGGTCTTTGGCCTCACTGGAGATGTGTGCCCAGTCCTTGTCAGGAAACTCATACTTGCCTTCCTGGATGCTCTCGAACAGCTTGTTCTAGGTAAAGAAGATTCCTTCTGAGGCCACACTGGCCAGGGGATGGGCAGGATGTGCCTGCCATTGATCTGATCGCCCTGGGTCTAATCGAGCTCAGCTGAAGCTGTAGCTCATGGCTTGGGTATGCCACAGACCAGGGCCCCTTCCCAAACCGCCCCCGTCCCCTAACTCATCCAGCCACACAGAAAACCCTTGGCAGGCTGGGATGGCTATCGAGGAACATCAACTAGAGAACAAAACCCATGTTCCCCGGCCCTTCACACAAGGCCCTTCATGAACAGGCTCCCAGCAACCTCTCAGGTCTCATCTACCCCCACAGTCAGCCTTATACTCCACTCTTCTTCCCTCGACACAAGTAGCTGCTTCAAACCTCCATGTCCTTGCTTGTGCTGTTCCTCCTACTTGTATTTCTTGCCCCTCTTCCCCTGGGGCAAGACTCATCCTTTAAGACTCAGCTCAGGGATGATGTTCTCTAACCATCCTACCCTGAACTCCTCGCTAGGCTGAGTGCCTGATTAGCATTATCTCACCTTGTGGCTGCCCTTGGACAGAAGAGGGAGGGGGCACTATAAAACCCCTTCCAGATCAGGAACAATCCCCAAGCCCAGCCCTGCTTGGCATCCCACAGCCACACTGAACCCCCAGCAGGCCCCATGCAGTGGGTCCTGGGGCTGTGCTCACCTGGCACACCCTGCAGACCTCTCCCCGGTCCCAGCCACAGTCGGCCCCACAGTGACCTACAAAGGGGGGGTAGCCACTCAGCATGATGTAGAGGACCACGCCCAGGCTCCACAGGTCACAGCGCTTGTCGTAAAATGTGGCCTCGTCCGTGAAGACCTCCACCACCTCGGGGGCCATGTATTCTGCAGAACCGCACTGTGGGGGCCAGGGTTGGGGAGGGGGAAATGGCAGAGAAGGGAGAAGCTTAGTCACAGGGAGAGGGGATGGCAAAGAGCAGAATATAATGGGACTTGAGCAAGAGGATGGAGTTGCAGAGCAAGAAGCTGGCAGGAAAGCCAGCTAGAGAGCTTGCCTGATGCCACCAAGGCACTGAGGAAAGCCGGGCCAAGTGAACATTTGTAAACTGAGTCCTACCATTCCCCACGAACCACATGACCATTCCAGGTCACCTTCTTATCTTTTCAGGTCCTTCTCCAGTAGGCAGAGACCCTTGGTCAGAAGCTCCAGGAATCTCTCCCTGCCTCAGCGCTCTGTAAACAGTCACTTTATGTACAGGTACTTCCATGTACCAGGAACATGGCTCTGGGAGGGAGATCTGTGGAGATCTAATTCCATAAAGCAAGGATTTCTTACTCCTTAAAGTGAAGTCCTGCCAAGCTTCCCTGCTAGCTTAGAGCAAGGAAGTATAATAATTTAGAATTAAGAGACCATCAAAGCTAGGAGAGCTCTTAGAACAAACCCAATCTCCTAGCTTCTCCCATTTACAGTTGGGAAAACCAAGGACTAGACTGGGACAAGGATCTGTTCAAGCACATCAGTGGCAAACCCAGGACAAGAATTCAGGATTCCTTCCTGCTGTCCTTGCACAGAAAACTGCTGATAAAAACAAAAATTCTTTTTGCTCTCCTCTTCATTATTTCAGGCTCACCAAGAGACAACCTCCCCCCACAACACACAACTAATTTGATGGGAAGATGGTAAGTGGAGAAACAACATTTTCTGTGTTATTGGCAATTAGAGTTAATGACTTTGAGAACAAGGTAGCTCAGTGTAGTAGAAGCTAATACAGAAACATTTCTAATAATGTTGCTCAGAATAAGACATAAGCATATTTAAATGCATGCCTTAAAAGAAGGTTATTAGGAAAATTCACTTATGAAGCATGCAAATCTCAAAAGAATCGTAATAATTATAGTATACTGAGTATGTATAAGAGATGTCTTAGGAAGAAGCAGCTGCCAGCAGCACCATCTGGGCATGAAATGTGGAGTGAGGGAAGCAACAGAATAATTTAGCCAGTAATCCTACGTGCAGAGAGCCCGGGACCTCTTGGTTCCCGCCACAGAGACCACACTCCCCGTCCTCCATCACAAGGTGGATGCGCCATGACCCGGGCAGTGGGAATGGGACTCACAGAGCTCTCCACGTGCTCATACGCAAAAGCGCTGGCCTGGGAGTAGTCTCTATCTTTACCTGGGTCAAAAGTTAGAGTTCAGCCTGTTCTTATAGAAACAGTTTGTCTGGTTATTGGCAGAGGACCCACCCCAAACTAAAAGCTCTAATGTCAGTTTCATTAGCAACTAAGCACTAGTGGTAGGGGAATGGGGGCAGTTATCAACACAAAGCAGTGAGTCAAATGACAACTCAGGGGCAGGAAGTGGTGTTGCTACACTCAGTCGTCCTTCCTTAGCCCTCTGTTCTGGATTCCAGAGCTTTGGGTCAGGTGCACACCAAATGTACAGGAGCTCAGAAGGAGGTGGCACAGGGTGCCCGGCCACACGTACTGGAGTAGTCAGCTCTGGTGTGGTTATAGGAGTGCAGGAGTTGTTCACTTTCACCCCACTGCCCAAGTCAAAGTCACAGATTTTCACTGGAGACACCTGAAAAGAAAAGCAGAAAGCAAAGGTTACAAATCTAAGAAAACAAAGGGCGTGAGGATCCCAACACGACTATGGGTGTACAGCTGTGTGGCTGCCACACTGAAGCCCAGCTTTATCTGTCAGGTCACGTTTACTCTCCTTGGGTTAACTAGAAATCACCTGAGGATTTATCCTAAGGTGTCTTCTTCCGCATGCTCTCTCCTATTTCCTGACTAAGAGAAAAGGTGCGCATTCCATGGTGTCAGACCGTTGTGAACTTAGTACAAAACAAGTAGCAAACCTACAGAACTCTTGCTGACAAATGATGGTGTAGGTTGCAACACAGAAGTTAGAGAAGTTAGCATGCATTCCTGAAAGACTCTTTGCAGCCCATTCAGTGGAGGGAAAAGGAGTTTTGAGTAAAACCCTTGACCCCCTCAGGTGGCTGAGGGTGACCAACCTGACTTTGCTTGCTTGGGACTTTGTTGGTTTAAGCACTGAAAATCCTGTGTTCTGGGAAACCCCTCAGGCCTGAGCAAACTGGGATGGCTGGTCACTCTAGGTGGCATTGACACAGCAGCCAAGCCCCCCAGAAGTGGATGCTTCACCTGAGACCAGAAACAGCATGGGTCACCTCTGGAGCCAACCAGGAGGGCAGTTTGTATGCACGCATGAGAACGGCCTGCGTGGTGGAAGCAGCACGGTAAGCAAGTCAAAAAGGCTGGTTCTGTTAGTCCCAGCTCAGCCATTTACCTGCTGGGGAAGCCTGGACAAGTCTCTCAACTGCTTTTTCTTTCTTTCCTTCTTTCCTCCCTCCCCTCCTACCTCCCTCCCTTTTTCTCTCTCGGACAGTCTATGTTTCTTCTTTTTTTTCGCTGGGGAAGATTCGCCCTGAGCTAACATCTGTTGCCAATCTTGCTCTCTCTTTTTTTTTCTCCGTCCCCAAAGCCCCAGTACATAGTTGTATATTCTAGCTGTAAGTCCTTCTAGTTCTTCTATGTGAGCTGCCGCCACAGCATGGCTACTGACAGACGAGTGGTGGGGTTCTGTGCCGAGGAACGAAACCTGGGCTGCCGAAGCAGAGCGCGCCGAACTTTAACCTCTAGGCCATCAGGGCTGGCTCTCTCTTTCTTCTTTTCTTTTTCACTTAGCCTCTTTTTTTTTATTGTGGTAAAATATACATAACATAAAATATGCCTCTTTTTTTTTTTTTTGTGAGGAAGACCGGCCCTGAGCTAACATCTATTGCCTATCCTTTTCCTTTTTTTCCCTTTTTCTCCCCAAAGCCCCAGTAGATAGTTGTATGTTGTAGTTGCACATCCTTCTAGTTGCTGTATGTGGGACGCCGCCTCAGCATGGCCGGAGAAGCGGTGCGTCAGTGCGCACCCAGGATCCGAACCCAGGCCGCCAGTAGCGGAGCGTGCTCACTTAACCGCTAAGCCACGGGGTTGGCCCCTAAAATATGCCATTTTAACCATTTTTAAGTGTACAATTCAGTGACATTAATTACATTCACACTGTTGTACAACCATTACCAGTATCTGTTTCCAAAACTGTTCCATCATCCCAAACAGAAATTCTGTACTCATTAAGCAATAACTCCCCATTTCCCCCCTCCCAGCCCCAGTAACATCAATCTACTTTCCATCTCTATGAATTTGTCTATTCTAGATATTTCATATAAATGGAATCACATAATATTTGTCCTTTTGTGTCTGGCTTATTTCACTTAGCATACTGTTTTTAAGGTTCATCCATATTCTAGCATGTATCAGAATTCCATTCTGTTTTATGGCTGAACAATATTCCACTGTGTGTATATACCACGTTTATCCATTCACCTGCTGATGGACACTTGGGTTGTTTCCAGCTTGTGCTTATTGTGAATAATAGTGCAATGAACATTGGCATTCAAGTTCAAGTCTCTGTTTTCAATTCTTTTGGGTATATACATAGGTGTGGAATTGCTGAGTGGTATGGTAATTCTATGTTTAGCTTTTTGAGGAACTGCCAAACTGTCTTCCACAGTGGCTGCACCATTTTTACATTGCCACCAGCAATGTACAAGGGTTCCAATTTCTCCACATCCTCATCAACACTTGTTATTTTCCGTTTTTGTTTTGTTTTTTATAACCATCCCAGTAGATATGAGGTGGTATCTCATCGTGGTTTTGACTTGCATTTCCCTAATGACTAAGAATGTTGAGCATCTTTTCATGTGCTTATTGGCCATTTGTATACCTCCTTTGGAGAAATGTCTATTCAAGTCCTTTGCCTATTTTTTAACTGGGTTGACATTCTGATGTTGAGTTTTAGAAGTTCTTTATATATTTTGGATATTAAACCCTGATCAAATATATGATTTGTAAATATTTTCTCTCATTCTATGGGTTGTCTTTTCATTTTCTTGGTAATGTCTTTTGACACTCAGCCTCTCTTAATTTTAGTTTTTCAACCATAAAAAAGGGTCAACAAACCTTTGCCATGAAGATCACATGAAACAAAGGACATGAAAGTACACTGTAAACCAGAGACAGTATAACAGAGTAGTTCAGAGCACCCATGGAGTTCTGGGGTCAGACTACCTTAGTTTTAATCTGTACTCTACCACATATCAACCAAGTGACTTTGGGCAAGTTTCTTAACCTAAGCTTCAGTTCCTCATCCATAAGATGAAGATCATACTAGTATCTACCTCATGAGATTTTATAAGTACTAAATAAAATAAGTGCCTGGCACAATGTAAGCACTCAAGAAATGTTAACTATAATTATGATAACAATGATAAATTATAAAGTTTTATGCCAGATAGGAAGTCACAAGATCTTATTTGAGCTAATACATTACTATTCCCCAGAAAAAGAGTTGTATGGAGCAGGCTGACCATATATTCACTCACAGCCATTCCTTATTTATGAGCTATCCCTTAATTCAGAGCAAGATACATGTGTTCATGCATATGCACACGTATACACACACAGAGCTATCAAAACCACCAGGGCCTAAATCTTTCCTAACAAACACAGAATTTGTCAAATTCATACATGTTTATGGAAATGCAAACACTTCCACTTACTAGAAGATTGAGTTAAGATAAAGTTTAAAATAGGTCACATTTGCTCAACACCAAGTATAAATGTTTTCTTTTTAATGGGCACTTTGGGAAATAAAAATGGAAACAGAAACCCTTTTCAAGAACTTGCTTTCTAATTATTACTTCCTAATTATTACTTCTAGTGGTGGATACCAGCTGGGCATATATGCCATAACAGAAACATCATTTATAGGCAGATTTGCTTCATATAAGATAGAGCTGTTCTTTATGAGTCACATCAACTGCTCTAAAGGTAGGTGCATTGCACTAGAAAACACTCATTTTGTGCAGGTCTCATATTTTACAAACTCTCAGGCTTAAGCCAATCACACTGCTGATAAAGAGCAAAGAAGGGACAAGGATTAAGCTACTTGGATTGTAGAAACACTACACATCAGGTATAACATTCTCACGTGGCCATAGTAATCAGTTCAAGTTGGTACCTGAGATGGAGAGAACTGCTAATGACCTATATTGAAAGCAAGGGTGGCTTCCCTGCATCAGTGTCAACTGTGACATCCCAAGTCAGGCCCTAAGTACCTTTTCTGGAGATTCACACAATATATTTTCCGGCTTCAGATCCCGGTGAGCAATGCCTGAAATGACAAAGAGCAAAGAAATGGTTACCATATGCACATAATTATCAAACATTCCACACCCAATTAATTTTTTCCAAATGCTGTTGTTCGCAGATTAATTCCCAATTATGGTACATTAAAAAATCAACGAGCTGCAGGAGGCACAAGTAACCAGAGACACAAACCAAAAACACAGTTGATTCTGCAAGTTCTTTTGAAGCAGAAGCTTTAGAAGTCTGGCAGGGATAAGAAGGGCTCAATGAATCCCAGCCAGCCTACCTCTCAGCACTCGAGTGACAACCAAGAATAAGGAGCCTAATACGAAGCAGAGCAAAGAGCTCTGCAAATGGCCATGCTTGGAACAGCAGTGCAGAAATGATTAGTGCCTTGTTTAAGAGCATCTCAGGGGGCTGAGACTGCTCTACCTCATTTCTTCTTGTGTGGCCGATTAAAAAAAAAAAACAAAGATTCCTTTAGTGGGACTCCCTGAATGTTCAGAGGATCAAGTGTTAGTTAACAAATCTCCCCGAGTATGTCCCATTCCCTCCTCACCTGCTCTGCATGTCCAAGGCAGTCTTGCCAGAAGCACAGCAAGGACTGCTTTGGCCTGAGGATGCTGCTCTTAATAGACACCTCCCCTGCATTTTGGCCAGACCTCCTGAAGGAGACTGCAGATAGCAGCTTACCCCATGAGGGGCTGAAAGCTGCTGACCTGGCCAAGAAGGGACCTGGAGGAAAACCACCTTCTAGCCAAAGATAGAGACAAAGCAGCAGCTCACAGGGCCATGGTGTTCTGGTGGCAGACGCAGAAACCTCCCATTCCTCTTTCCTCCTGCAGAATGTGTGGCGCAGAGACAGGAGGGCTGGAAGGTGGAACAAAAACCACAGCTACTGCTCGGAAGTACTGGGAAGCGGCAGAGGATTCTTGGGGTAACGGGGAAAGCAGAACCTGCTTTCCTAAAACTCCCTTGATGACCAACTTCTCAGGCAGCCCACTGGAGGCACCACACTAGAGAGTAAAAACCTGAGCTCCAGCAGGCTCAGGAACTTCATCAGCTGCCTAATTAAATGAGAACCCAGAGCAACTCAGTCCAGGCTGCACAAACTGAGTCAGGCTACAGCTCACCCCACTAAAAGTGAAAGATATTTTCTATTACAGCAAGTGTTCCCACAGAAGGATCACGAGCCACACATGGAGCCCTGATCTCCAAATAGGTGCCCATGGCCCAGAGGGGCCTGAGAACTGAGAGCCCTGCTGTAATAATGGGCCTGCCTCTGTGAGCACACCAGCCATAGAGCTGCTCTGGTTCATTTCCCAGAGGTTAAGTAGCAGTGTGTCTGGTATTTAAAAGTATGGAACTTGTTTCGGGGCAGACCCATTCTTGCCCAATTCATCTTCCCAGCGTGAAGTTATTCAGAAAACAGCCAAGTTCAGGTGGAAATCGTTTTTCATCCCCTCCAACTTCTAGTCATGTGGGCAGCTAGCCAGCTAGATGTTAACAAGCACTTCAGAACTCCTAAGACACCACTAGCCACTGTTTCCCTTAGTGCATTCTTGTAAAATAAATAAATAAAAAATAAAACCGCCTTTACCCGCCTCCAAGGTATGGATCTTGTAAAAAGCGTGACCCAGTTTTTGCAATCTACAGAGGCAGCTCAGGGAGTAGTTGTAAATCTTTGTCAAGCAGGTGTTACCCACATGCACCCCAGCTTTCAGAAATAGAACTACTGCTATTCATCATGCTATGGAAAGTAGAGACACCCCCTTCTAGGAACTTTCATCCCATGTGCAAGTCAGGCCCCCAACACAGGTACTGTCATACTGTCAGTATGGAGATCTCTCTTCAGTCACTGGAGGAAACGATGTGGAATCAATGAACCTGAACTTCTGCACACGTGCCACACCAGTCTGCACTGCATTGCTGGCACAAGGTGGGATGGGTGAATGGCATGCCTACAATTGGTCCTGAGCACTCACAACCGATGTGGCTGTGTCCACAAAAGTGAAGGGAACAGAGCTAAGTCACAAATTATTCACTCCACCCCTACCAGGCAGAATGCTTTACTTTAAGGGAATTAATATTAGGATTAAAAATGCTTTCTGCCTGGTGAGGGACAAGGGTGGAGGAAGTAACATTCTTGAAGGACCACTATGTGCCAGGCACTATGCTCCAACTATGTTTTACCTATACAATACATACATAAGATACACACAATTATGTAAGCGAGTTTATATAAAAGGCTTAGAACAGTGTCTAGCACATAACAAGTGCTAAGTGTTAACTACTGTTGATGATATTATCTCTCTTAATTCTCTCCATAGCTCTGTGAGGTAGGCTTATACTACTAAGAGAGCACATAGGTGGTAAAAAGGTGAAGCCAGAATTCATTTTTTTCATGGCACTGCTGTTAGACAAATTTAAAAAATGTATGTAATAGTCAAACATATTTATGGAAATACAAAAACATTTAATTTTCAAAAAGATTTAATATATTACCAAAGTTCTTAAATAATTAGTCCTAGATAACAGACTATAAACTAAACTGTAATTCAAACAACAGCAACCTGCTATTTACCATCATGATGTTCAACAGATACCTCAAATGTACCATGTTAATATCAAAATGAATTTTCCATTTATTGTGAGCAAGATATAAAACTACATATATACTATCACGCCAATTTTTAATTTTTATTTATTTTTATTGCAGTAACACTGGTTTATAACATTATATAAATTTCGGTTGTACATCATTATATTTCGATTTCTGTGTAGATTACATAATGTTCACCACCCAAAGACTAATTAAAATCCATCACCACACACATGTGCCTAATCACCCCTTTTGCCCTCCTCCCTCCCTGATCATGCCAATTTTGGAAAGAGAGATACAGGTGATATATTTTAAAAGACTAGGAAGAATAACACTCAAATATTGATACTGGAAAGATTGTATTATGCATGCGTTTTGTATTCTTCATCAGGAAAGGAAAGATCATCCACATGCACACACTCACACATACCTGTTCAACATGACATTTATTCTTTTTCTTCCCTGCTCTTTCTCCTGTATCCCTAGCCTGCTTAATAGCTCCACATGTACCCACCATCCACGCCAGAAGCCCAGGAGCCATCTGGCCTGCACCCTCACCCTCACGGCTGGGCCTGCCAGCTGCACCTGCTCCTGGCCTGGCCCTCTGCCCGGCCTGCCCCTCCCCTTGCTCCCCAGAGGCTGGCCAGCCCAACCCACCTGCCAAGGAAAGCAAAGGCTTGGCTCACCTTTGGTGTGCAGAAAGTCAAGGGCAGCAGCAACATCCTGCACCACTCGGCTGGCATCTCGCTCATTGAAGTGCTTCCGCTTCTGGATGTGGGCCAGGATGGAGCCTGGGGAGCAGAGGGGACACAGAGGAATGCCTTTTCAGCCTCTGCTAAGTATAACTTCTCAGAAGCCAAGTTTTCACAAGTTTGGGGTGGTGACAGAAGCTTATTCATTGCTAAATGTCCAGCAAGTGTGGTGCCTGGCACAGAGGAGGTACCAGCACAAAACTGGACTAAACAGAACTGGACTGCCATCTTATGTAGCTGACTCTGATGAGCACAGAAGGGAGAGAGAAAAAGTATTTAAATGAGCAAAAAATATTAATGCCATTGGGGCAGATTTGGCTTCTGAAATCAAAAAGAACTAAAAGTGAATCCAAATAGGACTGGAGGCCTCTCTATAGGAACTTTGACTCCTTTGCATCTGATCTCAACCCAAACAAGAGCACAAGCCTTCCAATGGAAACACCACACTCTCACTGATATGTAAAGGTCTAGAAAAAACTGCTTTTTCCCTTGAACTTTCCCATTTATTATCATTATTTTATTGGTAATGGCTAACATTTATTGAGTAGTTATCATGTGCCAAGGACTATGTAATACTCTTTAAATAGATTACCTTATACTCATTTGTTAACAGTACAAAATGTACCAAGTATAGTTATCTCCATTTTATAGATGGGGAACCTAAAGCCAAGGATGGTTAAGCAACTTGCTCAAGATCACACACCAGTAAGTGTGTGTGGACTTCTTAAGCCCAGTAAGTCTGGCTTCAGAGCCTTGCAGACTTCCCCTCAGCAGGACTTGTGGTCTGACTGCTGGGGGGCTCGGTTGCCCTGAGCCAACCGCACTCTCTTTACTTACTGGGTCTGGCCTCAGTAGAGCTGTACTCTCAGTGATATGGTTACCGTTGACCCTGCTGCATCTAGCATTTCATTTGGAGTTAATTTTTGTGTATGGTGTAAGGTAAGGGTCTACTTTCATTTTTTTGCATATGGCTATCCAGTTTTCCCAACACCATTTGTTGAAGAGACTTTCTTTTCCCCATTGTATGTTCTTGCATCTAGCATTTCAGACATGCAATTCACAGTCCTCGTGTGCTGGGTGGCGCAGGGGCAGGGGCAGGCACAGGCATAAACATACAGCTTGGCTCCATGTGGTCTATGCTCACTACTGGAAGCCAGTATTTCTGGGCTGAAGGTGTCATCTCTGTGTCCTAAAAATGGCACATGTTTACTTATTATCTCTGGTTTCAGGCATGGGGAGGGGATCAAAGATCTTTTATTTGTCAGATTAAACAATCAAAGGATCTCAATATCCTAGGGAACGTTCTGAGAAAACTGGCTCCTGGCTAAGTCTCAGGCTTGCTCTACTGTAGTGGGTCTCTTGTTTCCAAATTTATTAAAAGGGAAGGAGGAGGGCCGGCCCTGTGGCTTAGTGGTTGAGTGCGTGTGCTCCACTACTGGCGGCCCGGGTTCAGATCCCAGGCGAGCACCGACACGCCACTTGTCCGGCCATGCTGAGGCCGCGTCCCACATACAGCAACTAGAAGGATGTGCAACTACGACAGACAACTATCTACTGGGGCTTTGGGGGGCGGGGGAAGGAGGAGGATTGGCAATCGATGTTAGCTCAGAGCCGGTCTTCCTCAGCAAAAAGAGGAGGATGTTAGCTCAGGGCTGATCTGCCTCACAAAAAAAAAAAGCGGGGGAAGGAAGAGAGTTCCATTCTACATACTTCCAAGCTAGCCCTCAGCATACCTACTTGTTTTATTAACAGCTGACATTCATTGAACCCTTAGTGCCTACTGGGCACTGTGCTAAGCATTTCACATGAATTATTTCATTTAATCTTCACAGCATCCCAAGGAGGTAGGTGCTGTCATTATCGCTGTTTTACAGATAAGAATACTGTTTGGAAATGTTATGTGACTTTCCCAAGGTCACACAGCTAGTAAGTGATGGAGTCAGACTTAAACTTAGCTTTGCTGGTTTCTAAAACACACTCTCTTACCCAGCAAGCCCCTCTGTGTAGCTGTCCACTCAGCTCTGGACATTCTCCCTAACCTTCACCTTGCAAATGTGTCCTAGGGTTGGGTGAGTCATGGGTAGGGAGAGGGCTTCTCTATCTCCTTCTCTATGTCAGAAAAGCAACTTGAACATACATCGCAGTGATTATGTGTGTGGGTGATAGCAGTAGTGGTGATGGTCAAGACTGGCATCTTTCCATCTGAAGGATGGCACATTCTCAGGCCTCCTCTCTATCTGGGTCTGTGTCCTAAACAATGGAACCCTCCTCTCCCTCAGTGAGCCTTTCTGGGCTTCACAATGTATGCAAGAGCTTCCACCCCATAATTAATTTAAATAGTGAATGTGTCAAAACAATGGATTGATAAATCAATGACTAAATGTATCTATATATGAGTTCTGTTGTAATGAGGAGGCATTTATAGAATGCCCACACAGGTGACATTCTAAGCTCTGCAAAATGCTAATTATCATCCTTCCCTCCGGCCTCCCTTCTCCCAAATCAAGGGCAGTTTTAAGTCCTTCATCCTTTTTATTAGCTTGACTCATTTTAGAAGTCTCTGGGATTCGTGATGAATGATCACCACCCTGGGTCTTAATCAGAAGTCCAAACACATACTCAATAGTAAGTACCTCCTTGCAATTTCTCAAAGACCAAGTAAAACCTTGTGTCATCTTCAAAGAATTCAATCAGCTCCAAAATGTTCCTTAAATAGGGAAAAATAGGAGAAAAGGGAAAAAAAGGGGAAATGGCATTATATATTAAAGCCCACTTACAAATATAAAATGAAAAACAAATACAATGCCCTGTAGCAAGGCAGAAATCAATTTGAAATCAGAATGCTTATTAAAGACCCATGTTCGAGAAGTAGCCAATGGTGTTAGTAAGATTCAGGTCACCTTATCTTTCCATAATGTTTAGTCTCTGGTGTTTTCACCAAGTCTGTGCTGTCAAACCCCAACCCTAAAACCCACTAGGTAGAGTTATAAAAAAGTCCCAGTCACATTAAACTGAATAAAATCTGCAGCCGACTGGAAGCAATTGCGGCTAATAACACTGAATGGTAGGTGTGTGTCCTGGAGGCAAGCAGCAAATAATTACTTGCCCTCCCTCTTGCCCATAAATCATGGGGCAGTATTTACATTGCCTGGAGAAAATAGAAACATCTGTCAAATAGACTTGGGGCCTAACGTGGGCACCGCTAGACCCTAACTGCTAAGTGCTGCTTAATGAAACAGCCGTGTTCCCGCCACCATAGCACTTGTGGCCTTCCCCGGTGAGCACTCTCTGCCTGCCTGAGCATTACCGTGCTCTGCCAACAAGGTCGTCTTGTAACTCAGTAGGGAAGCCACCAGCCTGGATATCGGAGGTGTTGGGGGCTTTTTTTCTTTTAAAGAATGAAATAAACCAAGTAGAGTCTCTAATGCTGAACTCAGAAGCTGCAGGGCTGAAAATAAAAATCTGTCCCTCATAAAAAAATGCTGACCACTTTGGGAGAGACCAGGCTTTTACTAGTGTGAAGTCGTCCAAATAAGATGGCCAAAATGGCCTAATTTGAAAGAAGATTGTAGAGGCAGTGGCTGGAGTTAAATCAACAGCAGCCCCCATCCTCCAGGCTTAATGACACAGCCATCAATACTGGGCCACTGGTTCCCTGCTGACCCTGCCATGGAGGGAGAGAGGGGGAAGTGGAGTCTTAGAGGTGACCCTGATTTAAAGCCATGGTGGGAGAGCCACTCTTTTGGAGCTGGTGGTGAGCAGACTAAGATGGGGCTGGAGACCACCTTGGCCCAGTTATCAAGCAGAGTGTTAGACCAGGTTTCAGGGTCCTCAGTAGCAGCTGCACATATGTAAATAAGCTAGGAACAGAAAGCAGCGAATATTCCGAATAGTCCTCGTCATCCTCATCTATTAATTAAAGCAGGTCCCTAAAAATTTCCACTAGGTGACACTCAGTCAGCCTAGTTTCCACAGGTGCTTGAAAGAAATAAAACCCCATTTTTTCCCAAACAGCCACTGATTCAAATTGCTCACTCTCCTAACTTGCCTGAATTGCTGATATTTTTACAGTATTTCAGCCTAAATGGAAGACAGCTTCTTTGCTGCTGCTGCCTCTCCTTTCTCCCTTTTTAAACATTGAAAGATGGAAGGAGTTATACGCAGTTATGGCGGAAGGAGTGTGAGCTAAATGCTGGGTCAGGGATGGTAAGAAATAACCTCCTTTTCTGTGGCCAAGCATCCCCCCAGAGAAGCAGCAAGTAACCCAACCCTGTACTCACTTGTTTCCTTGACACTGATAGAGCGTCTCCACCTCTCGAAATACCCTACTCCGACTGTGCCCTGCTTGTTTTTCGATGATCTGTGGGAAGAATAAAATGTGTCATATACACCCACCTGACCTCAGCAGGAGTCCCCTGGGAGAATGCAAGGCCAAATTCAGCCCAAATCCAGTTTCAAGCACAAGTCTGGAGAAGGCCTTGGTGACAGGCACTGTGGCTCTGTCAGCCAAGCACTAGACTGCGCCTAAGGGCTTTCCAGTCTGGCTGGGCCTGTTCCCACTCTGCGAAGTACACCACCAAGAAAGCATATGAGGTCACTGCCCCCCAGCTGCCCCTCAGTTGCCCAGGGGAGACTGAAGCAGCCAGCAAGACAAAGAGCTATCTTTACCCATTCCTACCCAGAGGGCATCTCTTTCTGCCTTAAGGGTAAGAATTTACAACCTCTACTGAAGGATCTTCTGGTGCTGGAGGAAGAGCCAGGGGATGAAGGACACAGTAGAGAGGGACTAAAGCTCCAAGGCCAGCTCAGATGCCGCCTCTGCAGTTCTTCTGAGAAATTACCCTTGGGCAGGCACTGTATTAAGTCATTTAGGTACATAATCTCAGCTAACCCTCACAACACAATCCCAAAAGATAGAAAGAGGTAAAATATTTTGCTCACAGCTCTGATAAGTGACAGGGCTGGAATTTCAGCCCAGAGTTACCTCCAAAGCCCTTGCTATCTATCCTCTATCTGCCTATATCCTATACAGCTTCTCTCAGGGAACCTAGAGGCTTTGTCTCTCCTGCGACACTGTGGGCAGCTCCCCCTCCCCACCTACACCAGGAGATGCTTGGCAAATACTGACTGAACGAATGGATGAGCCAACAGAGAAGCAGGTGGTTTACACAGGGCCTGGCTGACTCGGAACATCTCTACAGACCCATCCAGAGCCCCAAACCATTGTAAGTAGAGCCTGCGGGCAAGTCTCCTGCAGAGCTGGCTCTGCCGTACAGTCCCAGGTGCAGAGTGGGCAGCACAGACAATGACATGCTGTTCTTTCATTCCAAGACTGCTGTGTAGAACACTTCAAACTTCTCCAACATGTTGCAGCACAAACATGCATGACCAAGTGTAATTTTCTAAGTAAGTCCATGTCTGTTAGTGAACCACTGTGGACACATTTTCTGAGCCGTCAGAGAGGTGCAATACTGGAGCACAGAAGCTATTCAACTTGTTTTTTTTTTACCAAGCATTTCAGATCAAACTCAGGAAGAACTTTCCAGCAGGCAAGCTATCCAGCAATAGCATAATTTTCTCTGAGAAGGAAATGGGCTCCTGCTATCAGAGAAGGGGGAGCAAAACATGGACAACTATGTGAGGAGTTACAGAAGAAATTCAGGACCAGATTATCTTGAAATTCCATTTCAACCCTGAGACTCGAGGATTCATCAGTGGGATGCCTGTAGGGAAAGCCCTAATAAAACCAAGAATTGTGGAGCCATGCTGCGAGAAGTAGCCCATCTCTAGGGAGCTTTCAAAGAACAGATGAGACATGAGACATGAGCAAAGCTGCTGAAACCAAAGAATTGCCAGGCCAGGGTCCAGTCGTTGCCCAAAATGCCAGGGGGCATGGAGGAAGGGCCAGGTTTTCCTTTTGTGATCCAACCTTGAAGAAATAGGGCTTTCATCCATAAATGTATTCAAACATTTGAAAATCAATTTACATTTGTAGTTTTTACCATACTTAGGCATATCTTTAAAAAATTACTTATAATTTATACTGATCCGTTTCCAAAAAGGAATCGAGGTAGTGCTTTTGTTACCATATGAAGCAACACTGCAGCAAAAAGGAATACGGCTTAGCAGAAGTGTTCGCCTTTATAAATCCACAGCTGGGACTATGGCCAGTTGGTTAAAAGAAGAAACATTTCTTTCGGGAGCCAGTTTGGCTGGGTTTGCCTGTATGAGGCAGCACTTGGGCCTGGTGGCTCAGGTGCTGTCAGATGATTTGAAATAAGCTTGGCTTGCCTCCTTGGATTTAATAAGACCTTATTTCTAGATCAGTGGTTCTCAAACTTTGGTGAATATCAGAATCACCTGGGGAACTTAGTAAACATACAAAGACCCTACCCTCTATCAGGAGACCTGGGTCTATGTGCTCTTTGTTAGCTCTTCGGGTGATTCTGATACACGCTAAAGTTTAAAACTGCCCTACATCAGGGCTTCTCAAACTTTAGTGAGTATCAGAATCACCCGGAGAGCTTGTTAAAATTCAGATTGCTGGGTCCCACTCCTAGTTTCTGATTCAGTAGATCTGGGATGGGGCAGATAATCTGTATTTCTAACAAGTTCCAGTCAGTGCTGATGCTGCTGGTGCAGGGACCACACTATGAGAACCACTGCTCTGGATCCATCTCTTCTTCCATGGGGAGTTGGCAAATGGAAGCATGAGGGGTGAAGTGAGCCACTCCAAGGTCACTCAGGTAGAAGCCACCTCTCCTGCCCCAAAGCTGAGTGCTCAGTCCTCATTATCATGATACTGTACATCACTTGTCCAGCATTTCATAATTTGTAAAGTGTTTCTACTTCTACAAGTTCATTTTTATTTTCATCTTCATAACCACTCCATGAGACAGGAAGGGCAAGTAGCATTGTCTTCATTTTAGAGATGTGGGAACTGAGGCTCAAGGAGGTTCAGTGACTTGACCAAAGTCAAATAGTAGTAGTTTGTCAAAACAGAGATTCAGGTAGGCCTTCTAATTCCAAATCTGATTGTCTGCTCCCTACAGCTAATGTCATTTGTCAGAATAAGAAGCAGCAGCTTACCAAGAGCCATTGTTCTAAGCACTTTACACATATTAACTTGTTTAATCCTCACAATAATACCAAATAGGTTCTGTGATTACACCCATTTTACAGAGGAGGAAACTGAAGGACAGAGAGGTTAAGTAACCTGCCCAATGTCACACAGCAAGTAAGTAGAGAAACCAAGATTTGAATCCAGTGACTACAGCTTTGGAGCTCCCATTCCTACTGAGCCACTGTATTGGGGAATATAAAATGTATTTATTTTAGGACAAGCTAGGACTGACTATTTGCAAAGTAAAGCCTGGCATCCAGATAAGACACTCACTTTGACAGCATACTCTTTGCCATTCTGCAGGCTCACGGCACCTTGAACTTTGGCATAGGCTCCCTCTCCAAGCAATTCAGAGGTCAGCTTGTACGTATCTAGAGGTGAAATTGACGAGACAAATAACAAGGTGAGTCACCCCTGTGCAAGCTAAGGTGGAAAGAAGTGCTTCTGTCACTCGGCTTCCCGGGTCTGATAACAAAGGCACATGATGACCCCATAGTGCTCAGGGACGAGGAAGACCATTAGCTTTCCCGGCCATCTCAGAGCTCAGATTCTCAACAACCAGACCACATCGAAGGCATCCTGTTCCTCATTTTAGAGATGAGGTCAGTGAAAGGGTTTCAACTCGGCGCACATTTCCTGAGCACCAACCATGTGCCAGATAGCATATTAGACTCCTAATAGGGACAGAGTGAGGAATAAATATAGTCCCTGCCCTTTGAGGGTCACAGTCCAGTGGCGAGGACAGACACGTACAGAAGTGACCCCAGAATAACCCAGGCAGTGGTGAATACTATCACAGAGGGACAACACACAGTAAAAAGAGCAGGGGAAGGGAAACAGTAACTGTCCAGGGACTCTGCGGGACGCTCACAAAAGGGGTGTGATTTGAATGGACATCATCCATTCATTTACTCATTTGCCAAGCACCTACTATGCACCCAGCTCTGTGCTAGGCACTGGTGACACAAAGGGGAGTAAAGCACTGTTTTATTTTATACCACACACAAACGAGGTCATCGGAGGTTTTTAAGACGTTTCCAGGAGTCACCCACAAGAAATAGGAGACAGAAGCAGGATGCAAACAGATGCCTTGAGGTTTTTAGGGTACTGAGTCTAACAGAGTAATAGGCCTGGGTTGAAAGAACATTTAGTTGACCTGCCCATGGTCACAAATAGCACAACCTCTTTGAGCCCCTTCCAAAAGAAGCTACAGCTCCATCACGGCCTCTGCCAAGCTGACCTCCTCCTCCCTTGGCCCCCATTCTTCAGCTTTTTCCTCTTGAGGAAGCCTAGCATTTAAACCCAGAGAATGAGCAAAATACTTTTTAACCATGAAATTAGATTTTATCATTCTTAGTCATGAGAAGTCCTATAATTGCACAAATTATCCGTGAATAACAGGAAATACTCTCATGTTCATCAAAAGAGCAAGACCTGTTGATTTGGAAACTACTGTAAAAACCTTGGGACTTTTGTGCATCCCTCCTCCCTCCCCCCATACACACACATCTACTGTTTGAGTTAAAAACAGACAAAACCCCGCACTAAGTACCTTCCTGGTTCCATCACAGTTTGGTCTTGCAGCTATGTAGACGAATGCACACTGTTGTTTGTAAGTATTTTAAATGATGTGCTTCTCTCACAATGGACACTTTGGTATTAGCCTTTTACACATGTCAGGCTAGGTCAGTGGTTTGAGGTCCAATACTCCTCACCCATAAAGGGCTTGTTCTTAGAACCACTCTACAAAACAATCCATTCACTACTGTATCTGCAATGTTGGAAAGAGGGACCACAAGGAGAAGCTATTTCAGGTCTCATAATGAAAGAAACAAAATAGATAAAGGGGGCATGTCACTCCTAGGAGCAGCTACTGATCCTTTCAGTCCTTTGCACAAGTGTCCAATATTCACTTCATCCCATCACATGCCCAGTGATAACAGGACCAGCACTGAGCCTGGTGCCTCACACATAGAGTATTTTCAAAATGTTTGATGACCCAACATTGCATCCCCTGAATATAACATGCATTCTCAAAATGGAGTCAAACTCATATAGCACAAGCAGCTGCAATCTCTAGGAGTCAAATTCTCTGCTTATAGAAGATTGAAGTTTCCTTTGCAGCATGGCCCTTAGTGTTCTCCCATCCTCTTACATGGTTGTTCTGCCTCTCAGTAGCCCCTCTAGCCCCAACAGCTGAGGGAAAGATCACATCTGAGAAGGGGCTGAAACACACCAGGCAATCTCACTCCATGTACAACTCTGACAGGTTGGTCTCTCTGTACACTGATGCAATGCTTGAACCATTCAGAGGAGGCCAGTGCACCATCTGCGAGTTTTTCCATCTCTGCTCTCTCTCTCTCACTCCTTTGCGTAAATACTCTCACCCCTGTCTTTTATTCCTATCACACAGATAACCATGAGCTGGCTCTAAGGTGATGCAGCCTGTGATCGAGACCCATGGGCTTCCAGGATGCTCCTCCTCCCTTGGGGAGCCACAGGCCTAGATCTAAGAGAGTTGTGTGACCAACCTTCAAACCTTCCTGGCAAGGAGTCAGTGGCCCGGGCCTTCCGCTTCTTCTTCTTCCTCTTGTCACTTTCTGCAATGGGAAGGAGTTCACTGCTGCCCATCTCTGGAGAAAAGAGGAGATGTAAGGGAAATATCACTGTACTGATCAAGCCATAAGTTCACCCAGAAGAAAAAGGTTGGGGGGCAGGAGCTTTACACTGATGTTTTTTAAATATCTGTGAGGACTATTGATTTGTTTTGACCCAGGAGGCAAAACTAAAGGCAAAACCATTACAGGAGATCACTAACTGTAGAGAGGAACTCAGGCAGACGGGCTGGATTAAAGGAGGACAGCAGAAGCCTGCTTTAACCAAGCTTATTAGCACATGGATTTAGATCTGTCGCCAGTTAAACTACAGTCCCCAAACAGAACAATGAATCCATGAGCAGAATCCCACCCGTAACATCCTCCAGCCTCAGCATCAGAAAGGCAGGACTGAGGGAGCTAAGCAAGAAGAGGGGTGTGGTTGGGAGGGGTCCACGCAAACGAAATCATATGCTCAGTAACCTCCCTGTGGATGTGCCTGGGGATTCAAAAGGCCTTCAGTGGAGATTGCTTCTGTGAAGGTACAGCAGGGCAAGGGATGGGTTTGAGGATGGCCCTAAGTTACTTCATGTCCAAGAGTACAGACCTGAGTGCCTGTGGAGCCCAGAGCTTGCATACTCTCCCCTCCTCAGCTCCTTATTTGAAAGGATGCAGGTAGGGCCCATTCAGGAGTCTGCTGTCGACAGGCTCTACATCAGACTGCTGGATGAGGTCATTTATTGCAAAAACATTATTCTCTCTCCCTGGCAAGCACCTGGCTCCCCATGTTAAAGGGAGGATTTGTGAGGCAGACCTTCAGACACTGGACTGATCGGGCAGAAAAGGGTAGGGACAGAAAGAATAAGCAGGAGACTGAGAGGGGGAAGAAAAAAGGAGGAATAATGAGCCAGTGCCCAATCACAGTACTGTTTCTAAGACACTCTAGATAGGGCCTTCCCCTGTTAAAGATAAATTACTTATAGAACATGTCATGCCCCTGATCCAGAGCACAGCCTTAATACTCTTTGCCTGCAGTTAGAAATAATAAGATTTCTCTGAAGTCTCTGGGTCTAAATCCCCACCAGGGTGATTAAACCTTTACATCCTTCTCAAATAGAGGCACTCCAGTGCTGATGGGGCATATGATGTGAGAGACTTTTAGACCAACTGAGCGATTTTGAAATGGAAGCTGGCTCTTTGCTTACTGAGGGGAAAGGCCCATTCTCTTCTCAGAGGACCCTGGCTGAATGTGATCAGAGAAATGGCAAGTCTGCTCAGGAAGATTGATTGGAGTTGATGCATGTCTTCTATACACTGTGCTCAGAAGCAAGTACACAACAGTCATTAGGAGGAAGCACACAGAACAATGGCACTTTTCAACATCACAATCCAGAAAGCATGGTTAAGCAGCCAAGTGTCTGACAGCTCAATTTAGGTGCAGTCTTCCTTCCATTTTTAGGATCTGAGGACAGCAGATTTTCAATTATACTTTAGAGAACAGACAAACACACGGATAAAAGGAATCCACAGAGGATCTCAAAATATTACTCTAGCCAACAGCTTCAAGGACAAGATATATCTGGGGACTGCAACACGCTATGAATTCAAAGAACTGAACTTAAATATCAGCACCCAAATATCCATTCTTACCAAGGTAAATTACAAGGAAAGAAGCTGCCCAACACAGCGAGAAACTCCACGGAAATAAAACACAGGGTCACTCATCTTCAGGAGCTCAGGGAGGGGGCACTGGCCATTGGGACAGCAGGCTGAGAAGGAGGGACCACAGTCCCTCTTGCCCTGCCCTTATGTGCAGTCCAGTGTCAACCCTTGTTCTCATCTATTTTCTCACGAGTACTGCGAGCCAAGTGCAGAGTGGACAGATTTCGGATTCACTTCTCTTTCTCCTTCCCCTGCCCACACTCTGATGGAGGGCCTAAGGACAAGCAAAATAGCCAAAAGGCAGGCAATGTAGAGGAGCAGCAAGAGAGCTGGTGGCATTATAATTCACAGGGGATGCTCAGACATGCTTATGGCTCTAGCTGAAAACCCTGTTAGCAGCAATTTATACTTGGTTTTTACCACAGCAGGGCTGAGGGAGCCTCTTGTGGAAGAAGCATACCTCTGAGCACCGCCGCACACACAATATTAGATTTTATGGCTTCACACACACGAAAGATAGAGTACCTGGTCTATTCTGCATGGATTTCAATGGAAGAGGGTACACCAGAAGGGACAAATGGTTAAGACTTTCCTTGGAAATAGAACTTGTTGAAGGAGAGTTGTTTTTGAAACTAGGAAGAAAAAATGTAGGAAGACAGTGAAGTGGAAAAACATGCTTAACTTCCCTATTTACACTGGGGGTGGGGAGGAGAGGTATCATAATCTTACCAAGGGGTTGATAGTTCCCCATCTGGAGCCTGTCCATACACTCTATTTTATCACAGACAGTCCACTAGCAGGGTCTGTGGGACCTTAATTTATTATGCATGCAGTCATTCAATAAAAGCTTCCTCAGGGTGCAAGTCTCCACAATCAAGCTGGTCCTTGGCTCACCTCCTTCCCTTGGCCTGAGAATGCTTCTCAGCCATCAAAACCCAGCTCAAAAGTCTCCTGCTCTTTGAATGAGTTAAGGTTTGTGTAAACACTGTGGACATCAGACACTATGCAAATAGATAGTATGACTACACAGAACTAGTAGTTAGTGCTTCATCCTTAGCTCCCAAACACCCTGCTAGAAGCTCTATTAGAGCACTGATTTTATTTGGCCTTGAGCTCTCCCCAGTGTTCCTCAAGGCCAGGACTGTTGCCTGTTCATCTCCGCATCTCCTGTAAGTCATGGAACAGTGTCAGACACATGTCAGCCTTCAAAAAACATGCACTGAAGTGAAAATATGAAATGATGCACATACAGTCATGTATCACTTAACGACGGGAATATGTTCTGAGAAATGCGTCATTAGGTGATTTCGTCATTGTGTGAACACCACAGAGTGTACTTACACAAACTTAGATGTTATAGCCTACTACACACCTAGGCTATATGGTACTAATCTTATGGGACCACCATCGTATGTGGTCTGCCGTTGACCGAAATGTCATTCTGTGGTGCATGACTGTAGTTAATGTTTGGTGCGGTGCATGTCACCCAGGCCCTTTAACTGAAAGAAATGTGGGTACACCTGTGCCCTGCAGACAATGCAGAGTAATGCTATTCAGTTCTATGACTTCCCTGCCAAATTCCCTCTAAAAAAAAGCCCCATGATCCAAAAGGTTCTTAACTTTCTAGCCAGAAGTCTGGTCCTTGCTATAGGATTGGGCAATATGTCTTGTTATTTCAGAGGAGGAAATAAGCACTTCTTTTACATTTTCAGGCAGACACCGGCTACTGTGGAGGCTCCCAGCACTTTCACTGCCTCTAGCCCTTGCCTTCCTCTTGGACAGGGCTTGGTGATCTACCATTTGTGTGTTGGTGGAGGTAGAGCTGGAGAGGAGGCACACTGTGGACAGGCAAGGCACATGGGCTTCGCATCAGGAGACCAAGGTGAAAGTCCTGGTTCCAATATTACCAGACATTGCACCAATGCCAAGTCACTTTGCCTCTTAGAGTCTCAGTTTCCTCATCTACAGAATAGGTTTAAAAATAATACCTGCCCTTTCCAGCAACCTGTGAGGACCCAGTGAAATACTTAATATAAATGCATGTCAAAAAACATGTGTATGCAGACACAACAGAGAGAACACTAGACAGAAATACACAAAAATGTTAATATTACTACAATTTGAAAGAGTGCCTACTATGTGCCAGGCACCATGCTAGGTATTTTACATACATTATCTCTAATTTTTACAATAATCCCAAAAGGTAAATATTTCACCATATTTCAGGTGAGGAAACTGAGGCTCAGAGCTTAAATAATCTACTGACCTCCAAACATCTAGTTAGTGGTTTAATTGGAATTCAAACTCAATGCTGTCCTTTCAAGTCCAGGCCATTTCTAACCTATTAGTTTTCTCTGTGTGATGGGGTGATTTTTATTTTCTTCTGTATATTTTTTAGTATTCTCCAAATTGTATACAATGAAATTTATTACTCTTTTATGCTATTATTGTTTTAGTCAAGTTTTACACACAATAATTTTTCTCCAATACATGTTGGAATTTAGAATCTGATTATACAGTATTTAAAATTATATCTAGATTTCTCTGTATTGAAATTTGACATTCAGTGAGGAAAAAACATTTCAGGAATATTGGTGCCTTGAAGATATTATTTTTATAATTTTTAAAAATAAAAAATACTATTGTAATTTTCATCTTTTTTAAATGCTATTTTTTAAAACAAAAAACTTTCTAAAAACAAAACAATGCATTGAACATTCAAGCCTGAGAGACACCAGTTTAAATCCTGGCTTTCCACCACTGCATGAGCTTTGGCAAGGTGCTTAGCTTCTCTAAGTATCAGTTTCTTCACACACAAAATGAGGGCAGAGTAAGGCCTGGGCTGCCTACATCATCAGGCTGTTGACTTATTCATTCAACAAACACTAGAGTTTTTGGGCACCTACTGATTGTCCAGTGCTACACAGTGAGAATACAAGAGAAGAGAGTCTCTGTCCTTAAGGAATTTAAATCCACTGACACGTAAAACAATTCCAATCCAGTGGGACAAGTGCTGTGACAAGGAAGTCCCAGGTGCTGTGGGGCAGAAGACAGGCATCTAACTCAGTTTGGTAACTAGAGGAGGAGACGGCTAAGCTGACACCTGAAGGATAAGTGGGAACTGGCCAGGGTAGGGGCTGGGGAGGGAGTCAGAGGAAGGGCATTTGCCAAGCCTGAAGGAGAAGCAGCCTTGCCAGTTAGTGTGAGTTAGAGAGAACTCACAGATGAGGAGGGCCGAAGACTCTCACTCAGTGGGACTTCAATGGCAACAGATATTCCTGACATGCAAGTACCAATCCATATCTGGTTTCCCCCCGAAGGTGACCCCAAGTCCTGCCTTCTGAAAGAACTGTGTCATTTCTCCATGAAGTCTCTGAGCCACACTGTCCCCAAAGTCACTGGATCTGCTTTCCGTATTTTGGTAGAGTCTATAGAGAACTAACCAGCTCCTACATCTGGTATGTGATACCAAAGATCATCATTTTTCCCGTAAGAGCATGACTTCGCTGGCTGACTCAGCTCCGCCAACCTAGCTCATGCTCCTCTGCTAACCACTCTAGCACTCTCCTCAAGATCTGTGATTCACTCCTCTTCCTAACCTGTACGAGTTACTTCCCTCAGTCACAAGAGCTTTCTAGAGACAGAGCAGCAGTCAGAGCAAGCTCATGAGTATAATTAGCAATTCAGCTGCCTTCTCAGTCATCAACTGGCTGAGGGCACCCAAACTAATGGAGAACTGAGAAAACGAAAGGAAAGTGAAGAAATGAAAGGAAGGGGGATGGACACTCTTAAGGAAGAGGCCAAGACTAAGAAATGTGAGGCAGAGGAGGCACCTGGGGAGACTGAGCCTGAACACTTCCTTTTCTAAAGTGGTAGTAGTAGTTACAGTATACACTACTACTACTAGGGACAGTACACACACACACGTACGTGGTGCTTACCATATGCCAGGCAATGTTCCAAGCACTTTACAAATACCACATTTTTACATATCCTTATTTAACTTTATTATAACATAATTTATTTAACTTACTTAATCTTCACAACTCTATGAGGTAAGCATAATTATTATCCACATTTTTTTTTTTTTTGGTGAGGAAGATTGGCCCTGAGCTAACATCTGTTGCCAATCCTCCTCTTTTTGCTTGAGAAGATTGTCTCTGAGCTAACATCTGTGCCAATCTTCCCCTATTTTGTATGTGGGACGCTGCCAAAGCATGGCTTGATGAGTGGTGCGTAGGTCCCCGCTGGGGATCTGAACACACGAACCCTGGGCCACGAAAGCAGAGTTTGCCAAACTTAACCATTACACCACTGGGCTGGCCCCTATTATCCACATTTTACAGATGAAGAAACTGAGGTACAAAGAGATTAAGTAATTTGCCCATGGTCACATAGCTAGTAAGTGGCAGAGATGGGATTTAAATCTAGACAGTCTGGCTCAGAATTCAAGCTTTTAACTAAGGCAGAGGGGGTAGCCAGTCAGACTTAGTCAGGCACCAACAAGAATACTTTTATTTAGAAACCTTAGCACAGAGCTTCCCTACTGATGTGCTGTGAATTAGACAGTGATCCTCTCATCAGGCTGAACGATATCATGTTCTGTGCATGCTGTGATGTCAAAAAGGTTAGGCAGGGGGCCGGCCCCGTGGTGTAGCGGTTAAGTGCACGCGCTCCGCTGCTGGCGGCCGGGGTTCGGATCCCGGGCACGCACCGATGCACCGCTTGTCAGGCCATGCTGTGGCGGCGTCCCATATAAAACGGAGGAAGATGGGCACAGATGTTAGCCCAGGGCCAGTCTTCCTTAGCAAAAAGAGGATTGGCATGGATGTTAGCTCAGGGCTGATCTTCCTCACCAAAAAACAAAAAAACATTAGGCAGCACTGCTCTAGCTTACATAATACAAGGGCATTATTACCACATTATCATTATTATATTAATCTAAAGCCTAATTTATCAGAAGTTCCTTCTTCCTGCTCTGAGATAGTTTTGTATTTTGTGTTTTGGCATATTACATATGATGAGCTACAAACCAGTCCACCACATTATCTCATGGCAGTTCTGGTATCAGGGACAAGGCTACATTGTTCTATCTGACCTATTAGTTGGTTGATTTGGTTTCTGATGATATCATTACTATGCAAGGGACAAGGTCAAGGAAAGCGTACACTCAAACAGAAGCTAGTCAAATTTAACGCATGATGGATGAAAGGAGCCACCTGTGAAATCAGCTTGATCAAAGGATCGGCTGTCTGCGGGTGTGATTCCAGAGGGCTAAGGTATTTCACAGGTTTTTCCCAGGAGTCCTGTGTGTGGTGAGGCTGGGCAGTATTATGCAGATTTCAGTGTCTCATTCAACTGCAGTGAAGGCAGTTTGAGGCCTGCTAAGGTGCCAGGAGGGTGATGATTCACAACATGCCTCAAACTGGGCTGGGATAGTAGGATTCCCAGAGGCAAAAGGTCTAGATTCAGGCCCATCTTCTTCCTCTGTTCTGATTCTGGGATCACAAGCAGCCTTCAGAGCTGTCATTGCATCTCCTGGTGGAAGGAATGACATGAGGAAGGGTTGAGGGGGTGAAGGAAGTAAGTGCTTAAGAAATGGCAAACAGGAGTAAAGGACTGGATTTGTGTGAGCAGGACAGTGTAAAAAGCTGAAAAAGGTAGGCTGAAGTCAGATCATCCAAGCTTATTAATATGGCCTACAGGGCCCTCCAATATCTGGTCCCCATCTACTTTCCAGCCTCACCAACCAACAGTCAGCAATTCTTTCAAGTAAAAACGAAAACAGGGGCTAGTTCAGCCTGCAATTCAAAGAATCCCACAAGTGCATTTCCTGAGACAGCCAGTGTCCTTTGGTACGCAGCAGAAGTGCTTTATGAGCATTGCCATTTTGTCACACAGCATATTAAAAAGATGTTTACTCAAGGGTTGAGATTCAATAAAATTAATAATTTTT